AGGAGAGAGAGAGAGAGAGAGAGAGAGAAATTAGGTTCTAGAAATCACCTGATTTCTGCAAACCCTCCGACAAGCCACCACAACCAGCAAAAATGTCAAGAGTGGCCAAGCAGTTATTCGGAGAATGGCTCTTCTTTTGGGAGGGGGACTCTCCTTCAACAGCCTTTCCCTTGTTCTTTCCATTCCCACTCAATGTTCCTTTTGAATACCGCAGCTTCGTGCCAGAAGGTAACTGTTGCAAACCATAGAGGCTTTAATAAAAATCATTATTATTCATCATATAGCAAAGGAATTCACAAATCAAACACTTTTACCTGCTTGACACTGCCATTCACAGGATCATATACACACAAACAGAAGAAGATATGGTCAAAAGTAACTGGACCATGCAAAGATGGAAGGTCATGCTGCTTTCTAACTTCACACTTCCCTTCCAGCATGTCAAGAGGAACTGTACATATTTCTTCGCTGTAGTAGACCTGGAGTATCAAGAACCAGACAGTCAGTCAAAGAAAAAAGAAGGGAAAGAAACAAGATAAGATAAGAAAACCTCCTTGCTTGTCACTTCTATAACATAGTTAGTAGTCCAGATGGTTTAAACCACTAAGGAAAGAAGCAGCAAAACAACCATGACCACCACTACTATTTTGCCAAATTTCTAAAAATGAAAATGTAAAAAATTGCATAAAATTTTAAAATTTCAATAATAAAAGATTTCAATATGAGGATTGAGGCTGAGGCGAACTATAAAAGGGATTGCTCACTTCTCGAATATCAGCAGTATACGCCTTCTCAGTTCCAATATCCTCGGGCCTGTAAAATCTTCTGACCTTGAGTTTTGTTGTCTTTATTGAGTCCACCTTTTTAGACCCACCACTCACCTCGATCTCTAGAAGCTGGCAAACAACATATGCTCTGAGACCCACATTCCTGCCAGCTTTAAATTTCTCCTGCTCCACACTCACAGCAAATACTTGGGGGTTCACATACACAAAATCAAGCAGAGTGTACTGGACGCCCTTGCACACAAAGCCAGACTTATCAGAGAGCATCCTGAACTCCTTGTTTACACCTTCTTTACAACTGCACGAGACACAAACCCCAGTTCCAAGACCCATGGTTTCACAAGGAAGCTTAAAAAAGCCACCTCTATCTGGCAGATACAAGCTCTTGCAGTAGTATTCAATAGGCAATCCTTTCTTCTCCATCTCCTCAGCCCTTGCCTTATCAACCTTATCGGAAGCTTCATTCTCCTTCCTGTACTTTTGGCCCCATGGCCTCTGTCTTACATCCACAACTACACTCTGTTTCACCTCACTCAACTCGACATCCATACATTCATCAGTCAAAAAGACCTCTCTAGCATTTGCAGCATTTCCCAATACAGTCTGAGATCCTCTCTGCATTAACCTGCCATGAATCATCTTCACCCCATCTGAATTCTCAAACATGTACTCTACAAAGAGAATCGCAGGCAGTTCATCATATGAATCGGGCTCAACTATTACAAACCCACCCACCAAAACCATATCTCCAAGAATAGAAGCACTCTTGTAAAGAACATTCCCAGAAGAAGCCACTTTGCCCACACAATCCCCAACCCATCTAGTAATTTCCCCATTTGATTTTTGAGAATTCGATGTAGTAGATGGCTTTGACATACCATTGCTAGAGTTGGTTTTAACAAAAGCAGACTCACCACCGTTAGAGATAGGTCTAGAAGCAAGAGCCTCTCCCTCTTCCTCCTCCTCTTCTTCTTCATCTTCATTCTCTTCATTCTCCACCTCCTCGTCTTCTTCCTCTTTCCCACCTTTTGTTGGCTCAACACCATTCTCAACCTCAAAATTAGAGTAGTAGTCACTCCATATTCGGTTAATCAGTTTGGTGGTTGTGGCCCTCATTTGCTTTTTCTTTGTGATTTCAGGCCTCATGGCTGCCCTTGGATTCATGTTGGCTTCCTTCCTCACCAACATAAGCTTCTTTTTCATTGCCAGCTTAGTGTGGTGCCTCTGCTCCATCTTCATGGAGAGGCCTGAGACAAAGGCACTCTTGCGAATGTTCTCATCAGGGAACTCCGCAAATTGCTGGAGTATAATCTGACCATGGACCACGACATATCTCTCAACTGCTGCCTGATTTGATGAGATACATATAGGGTCCCCTTTAGGCAGCTCAGAGAGCTTCCTGATGACATCATTGAATGAAAGCCTTGACACTCTGCTCTGCTCCTTTAACATGGTTATGATGCCTATGGCTAGCGTTGCAGTCCTGAGCACCGGTTCATACCAAGGAGCATATTGCTTTGAGGGCTTCCCAAGCCTATACCAAGCACCATCAGTTCGAATTGATATGAAGAGCATTGATGCTCCAAATTCAATCATCCACTCCTTTACAGCACTCAAATACACAGGTATTCCTTTGTTTGAAACTTCATCCAAAGCCCCATTTGAGGATGAGCCACTGGGTCCCTTTACATCAATGCAAAACCCACTGCCATCATCTTCAGTCATCGATCCAGACCCAAAAATCGTGACATCGGTTTCAGTTCCTGGAAGCATGGGTAGCAGCTCTAATGAAACGAGCCTCGAGTCAGAGTTGTAGAGGGCCCAATTGTGGAGCATTCGTCGAGGGAGATCATCTGGGGCCAATGTATGAAGATCTTCATCGAAAAACACATACTCATCCATCTCCTCCTCAGAAGCCTTGTAAAAGGCCGGTAATGGGTAGTCATTGACAATCTCATCCTCATTGATCTTCACATAATATTTCTTTGATTTTGATGAAGTGAATACATGGCCCTTCTTCTGTTTCATCTCTCTCCACACTTCCTCTTCTTGCAAGAGTCGAGCCATCTTCTCACTCTCATCTTCCATCACATCAGGGGACGAAGAGGCAGAGGAAGCCAAGCCATTGCCAATTTTCAGGCTCCCATCCTTAACCTTGGTCAGCCTACAGCTTGGCTCGCGCATTTGACACTCATTTCTCCAAGAAGTTAGGACAGGCAGCCCAGCAAATACCTGATCATTGTTTGAAGAGGTACTGTCGAGACCATACAATTGATTGGCAACAAACTCCCCTTGAGATATAATGAAATCTCTTGTCAAGCCTCCCTTCCGCGAACCAAGTGCTCGAGCCAAACTAGCAAGAAGCTCATCAAGACCAATAAGTGGGTAGCCGCCATGAAACTTTGAGAGCTTCTTGAATACCTCAACAGAAAGCAGGGCCTTATCAGAGAAAATGTCAAAATGCTTCTTGTATTGAGAAGAGGGTTTGAGAAGAGAGTATTCAGCGAGATCAGTGGAAACCCAAATAAGAGGTTTACCCTCGTCATAGCCCGAGATCGACCATGACTCGATCCTACCAAACCCCTCACAGCAGGCCCCACAGTTCTTATCGGTGGAAGAAGTGGGGCCTGCCGGGAGAATTAGGGCAGAGATGTAGAGGTCTTGGACTTCGGACATCTCAAAAGGCTGAGGGGTGCCATCGCTATCATGGATTATGAAATCCATGAGCCTCCTTTGAGGGGTTTGCTCTTCTTCTTCATCCCCTTTTCTGGTTAACTGGATGGCGGTCTGCTCGTCATCAGCGATGGTCTGCTGCACCTTGGGGAGGATGTAGTCATCTTGATTGAGGCGGAGAGGTTTCTCTCTCTCCTTGAAGTTGGAGCAAGAGGCAGCACGCTTTGGGAGCCTCCTCCTTGAGGGGTTCTCTATATCAGAAGTGCTGTTTCTTTCGGGGGGTGCATCTGCAGTTCGCTTCTTGTTGTAGTTGTTGGTGGTGGTGGTGGCTTTGGTGGGTTTTTGCCTCTTGACAGCGGTATCCATTGCGGACTTGGTTTTGGCGCCTGCTGGAACTGAGAAGCAGTAGTGCAGATAGAGATAGAGAAAGAGTGATTGCAGTGAGAATAGTGCAAATCCTAAAAGAGAAGAAATGGCAAAGGGAGGGAGGGAAATTGAAGATAACACAAATGAGAAAATTGCAAACTCAGGAGAATGAGGATGGAAATGAGAAAAATGCAGAGTCTTGAAGAGCATAAATACGCTGTTAAAACAATGGCACCAGGAGAGAGAAGACGATTGAAGAAGATACAAAATGAGAAAAATGCATGGCCGAAAAGACGAGAAATGGAACCATATGTAAAGTAACTAGAAACCATAGCAGAGGAGAGAGTGTGTAAGGACTGTGCACAGAATGAATGAAATGCGAATCAGAGCCATTAAAGAAACGAAGAGAGAGAGAGAGAAGGGCCTACCCGGGGTCGAAGAAGAACTGCGTGTTCTCTTGATTCGATCTGCAAGGCCAATTTTTTCACCCATGTCCACGAGAGCTGCAGAACCCATTTGCAATCTCTCTCTATATCTTCTCTGTGTAGAGAGATTACTCAGAATAGAAAAAATCCCCTCTGCGTGCTTCTCTCTCTCTACTATGCTGTCCTAAGAATAGGTGCAGAGAATCGTCCCTCTACACGCTCTCTCTATCTCTCTCTCTCTAAAATACTTCTCTCTTACTAAAATACTCCCCGCTCTCTAAAACATCTCTGTCTCTCTCTCTCTCTCTACTAAATACTCCCACTCTCTAAACACCTCTGTCTCTCTCTCTCTCTAAATACTCCCCACTCTCTAAAAGACTTCTTTATCTCTCTCTCTCTCTAAAATACTCCCCACTCTCTAAAATACTTATTTCTCTCTCTCTCTCTCTCTAAAATACTTCTTTCTCTCTCTAAAATACTAATTTCCTTTTCACCCGCCAAAATAAAGACCTAGGGCTCCTAATTTAGCGCGAGGGATGAATCAGCTTTGCGCGCCGGCGCCAACTTCCCTCGGATTCAAATTTAAAACATTTGGAGGAGTTCCAAACTTCCAAAGCAAAGTCTTTTAAGTCTCAACTCTCAACACAAATGAAAACTCTCCTCCTCTTGATTGGGAAACTCGCAGATGCTCAGTATTTCTCAATTTGAAAAACACTACAAGAAATGGATTGGAGAGGCACATCAATTTTCTATTTACCCTCGTATTTCTGCAATCTTGGAATCATCATTACATTGTCCGGAAATGCAATATCTTTCCGGTTGGTGAAAATGAATTCTTTCCGGCATTTTGCTTTTAAACTCCATTTAGGGCAAAGCTAATTCCAAGATGTGCTAAATAGGAATTTGTGCCTCTGTTAACGCCTCATGACTACCATAACCATCACCATGGATTCATGGTCTCTCTTTTGTTCTTGATTTTTTTTTTACCATGTAAGTATCTAATAAATTTATTTAAGTTCAATATTTGCTCATTTCCCTAGGTAATTTTATTGACCACCTTTTGTGGGTTACTATATTTCCTTTCTTTTTTTGCCGCATCTTTGTAATAATCGCAATATTATTTTGAGATCGTAAATTATATGACCATTTACTTTTGGTATGTCACAATCACATTCAACCATTCAATATAAGATCCCACACACAGTTCAAGAAATTTTATTTGTAATGTTGTCTAGTCTATTGTACACTCTAAGCCATCAGATTTCACATCCAACAAGCTATGATAATTGTGACTTTATTGTATAAAAAGTAAAGAGAAAAGTTTATATAAAGTTTCCAACCTTCAAATGTAGAATCACATATACACCTCAAAAATCTATCGGAAATGTTGTTTTAATATTGAAAAAACCCTCTAATCGATCATCGAGATGCATGAATATGAAAAAAAAAAAAAAAGTTGTTGAATACCGAAAATAATGCATCTTGCAACACATTATCTAGACCATCCATTTTCAAGATTTTTATATATTTATAGATCTACTTGATTTTAACTATTTTTTAAATTTTAAAATTTCTAGTTAGGTATGAATATAGATTTTAAGGTAGTACTAAGTATTTTTTTATAACAAAATTACATGTTATAATAAATTTTAAAGTGCGCCGTAATTGGATATTTTAAAATTACAACATTATAGAAACCGCACCTTAAAGTAAATGATCTTATTGTATATATTTCCTATTCATTTTTAGAAATAACTTAACTGCATGTCTAAGTCAAGGATGAATCTTGACCACTGGATGCAAAATATGCCTTAACGGCCAGCAAAGGCAAGGGTATAAGCACGCATGCCTATAAACAAGGGTTAGCTGCCCATTTTGTGAGTACACAATCAAATGTAATCTTTTGCTATCACACAATCTTGGTTATCCATTTCTTCATTAACAAGCTATTCAGCTCTCTCTTCTCTTTATCTGTTTTTTTTTTTTTTTTAAGCTATTCCTCTCTCTTTTACCGTACTTGCTAAAGAAAATAAACATGGGTATCAAAGCTAAGGTGTTCCTAGGACTTGGTTTCTTTTACTCTCCCCGTAAAGACCTCTCGGTGATCTATTTGTTAAATTTTCTCACTCATTTGATTTGATTTTCATTTTAGAAACCAAAAAGCTTGTGTGTTTTTTTCTAGTAGGGTCTCTCATCCTATTGCCTCCTTTGTTTTCTTTTATGTTGGAAGGGGAGAATTCAAATGACTATCTTCTTTTTGGCACAAGATTGTGCTCTTTCCTTGCCCATTTGAAAAGTTTGCAAATGTTTTTTCCTTTCTTTGTTGATGGCACCTATGTAACCCATATCATGGACGGCCACCCAACATATACAAATCATAGTTAGCAAGTCTTTGTTTAAAACACAATTTTTTCAAAAAATCTCTTATGTTTTCAATGAATATATCTCTTTACTCGTACGACTTAAACGTCTTGTATTTATCGAAAAAGTGATTGGATTGATGGGAAAATAGAATCCTGAGTCGTGAACAGTGATTTGATTGATGATGAAGAAAGAGATGTCTTGGTTCAGTTCTCCGTCTTAACGACAAAAAAAAGGATTGAATCCAATTTTTTCCATTATTTCCGTATCCGTAATAGTGCGAAAAGAAGGCCCTGCTCCGAGTTGTTCAGAAATAGTGGAATAGGCGTCAGCCCCCATACATGGACTTACGACTTTGCGGAGACCTGTGTTTTTAGTAAACAGTCATCCGAGCGTGGTCATTGCGACCCCTTTTGTGAAGAGGCACCCCTTCTCCCGAAGTTACGAAGCTATTTTGTCGAGTTCCTTAGAGAGTTGTCTCGTGCCCTTAGGTATTCTTTACCTACCCACCTGTGTTGGTTTTGGGTACAGGTACCCTTTTGTTCAAGGTCGTTCGAGCTTTTCCTGAGAGTGTGGCATAGGTTTTCAACACACGTTAAGGGACCGTTTAGGTACGAGTAAATCTATTACATGATAATGATTACAATGAAATATGACATTTACACTATTTTGGTATATTTTAATTATTGTTTTGGTACATTTTAATTATAAGAAAATGAAAAGACATTATGCACGATTACATAACATTTTCCCAAAAATCACAAAATCCATTACACGAGATGAAAAATCTATTACGAGCTTGAGGGGTAATCTTTGGAAATCTTTAGCCTGCGTCTCTCTGCCCTATCCCCACTTAAAAAATATTTCCCTATCTCAAGTATAAGTTGTATTGTATAATTATTAAGATAAGTATAAATGTATTGTATAATTATTAAAGTAAGTAGAAAGTGAAAGTAGGGGATATGAAAAGGGGAATCTAAATTGATTTGACCAAGTGTACGAGGACAATTTTCTACTGTAATTATAATAAAAAATTTGTACATCCCTCTATCTCCAATTTGGGTTGTAGCTTTCATCTGTCTCTCATATAAAAATAATTTTTTTTAATAATTGGTAATTGAAAGTAAAAGAAAATATAAATTGATTTCAACAGTTGTAGACTTTGATGAGGAATGATAATTTTCTACTGCAATCATAATAAAACAAATTTATACTTCCCTCTTGCTCCAATTTATACTTCCCTCTTGCTCTAATTTGGTTGTAGCCCACCATCAGCTCTCCTATAAAAACAAAAATAATAAAAATAATCCATCTCCAATTTGAGTTGTAGCCGGTCATCAGCTCTCGTATAAAAACAAAAATAATAATAGGTAATCGATTAGAAATTACACGTCACAATCATAATAAAAAAATTCATACAACATAATCCTCATAAAATATTAGTAAAAGCTCAATTAAAATAAGGTACCCCTTTAGTCTCTTCTAATGCTTCAAATTTTTCTACTACAATTACCAAACCTTCTAGTTTATTAATCAAACTACTTCCCATTTT